GAAAGTAGACACCGTCAAACTTTTTATTACAACGAAGTGAAATTATACGAAATTTCGTCTGCCCCCGAGTCATCAACGAAAATCCCTATACCATACTTATCACTCCCTTCGGGGTTATGTGCCGTCCTATTTAACTTACAGCTGACGTTAACAACCTATAAGGATAAGAATAAAACTACAAGTTTATTAAGTGATTTAATAACTTTCGAAGCGCTTCTTAAAAATTCTGGTTGCATTAATAAAAGATGGGCTTCTCCCCTTTCTTCGTTAATTTGTTATTTACATTACGCAGGTGTTTGCGGATTTGTCCCGGATTCCGTGTGTAGGTGGAATTTGCGGAAGCAATTTATAAAAAGCAATTTTCACCAAAAATTGCATTCACCTCGAAACCAAAGGGCTTAATGCGTCGACTGAGCTAAATTTATGGAGAATCCATAGAGACGTCTACGTTGTAAAATCTAAATTAGGTATTATTTGGGAGTGTGCATCTAAAAGGTTTCGCTGCTGTGACCGCAATTTTTTTGTTTCAAATAAAGTTGAATATTAGCCAGCGTCATTCTATCGAATATACAGTTTACACTAACGAACCCAGTTGTAAGGCTACATTGGGATCAATTAAAAATAAACTTGTTGACCTGTGCTTTTTCAGTGAACCGACCCGGCACACACAAAAGTTTCTGTAAATGTGTCGCTAAAATGCCATTTCTGTGCGGAAATGTTTTAGTTTTATGTTTTAATCTTTACAAGTACAGGATTCAATTAGTTCGTACAGAAAACAACTGTGAGGTCTTTCTAAATATACCTACAGCGCTGTAATTTCCAAATGACTGGCATTTTTTATTGGAGAATAAAAATTATTCAAAATGGATTCCAGTAGTGCTTAAAAGTGGTATGGTAGGGCCGATTCTAAATATGACCTTGAGCTCTGACGCCTAGCCCAAGATTTCTCCTTTTTTCTCTCTGAAAATCAAATTCAAAAGATATGTTTCTAATTTGCTTGCTCGCAAAATTAAACAGTGAAATGGTTCCAATTTCAATTTACAAGATACCCTATTTCTAATTTTCGCTACAAATTTCCGAACAACTAGATCAAATTACTCACCAGACTAACGGTAACTTAATGCCAAAAATCTAACAACAATATACGACACCATTTTTTATACGTAACTTGCCTTATAAATCATTGGTAGGTACACATGAGTTGAGGTCCAATTGTAATGGTTCATCAATGTAAAAAATATAAATGCAATACAAACGGCTTCAAGTTTGCCCAGGGTTTGAGATCTTTAAGAAACACAGATTCAATTTTCTTTAATAAATTTTGAACTTCAATCAATTTTTCTTAAAGATATATACAACCCTTCATTTTTTACATAATCAATATCACTGTACCTCCTGAAAAGAATGTACTTCTGCACATGGTACAAGCGAGGTCGAACAAAGGACCGCATTGTTTTCCCGAATTAATTCCTTGTCGAGAATCTCTCAGAGAAGTTTTTTTTTGCTAAGAAGTGTTTGCTAGGTTGCTGGGGTTACCAACCCAGACCCGACCAAATCTTTCTATGGACCCCACGCTGTGTTCGCATCCGTGGTTCAAACGTGAATTAATCTAAAATCTACTGATATATCCCCTACCTAATTTCTTACTGATTAATTAACGCCATTTTCAAGATGGCTTCTAGTAATTAAGTAAACCATTTTTTGTTAAGAGAAAATCTGATTGGCGGTACTCCCCAAAATGTATACTATCACTCGCTGAACGTTTTGCAAATTATACAAAGCCCACGATATTGTAATAGGACCAACTTCTTACGGACTTTTACAATTCCACCCATGCTGTAATGATCTAGTGAGTTGACAGTGTGGACAAGCGGTGATGTTTGGTGCATTTATCTCTTTGTTTTCTAATAAAGTCCTGTTTTGTAACGAATTGAGTGTGTGCAAAACCATGTGGGGATTAATTAGAAACAAGAATCTGTGGATTCGGGACGCCACTAGAATTCTATTTGGATCAAGGGATAAATTTTGAATCGACCGTGTGTCAAGATCTTTGTAAGTCTCTTACATCCATAAAACCAGAACTCCGGCTGTACATCCTCAGTCCATGAAATGATGGAAAGTAATGAATAAAAACGATCAATCGTTATTTGGGGAAAGTTGTTTCGGAACGATAAAGGGACTCCTAGTATATATCCTCTCTACATGAATCGACGAAACACACGCCCGCAAGTGTGTGGTTTGGTTGGGAACTAACATTTCCCTGCGAATTGAATTTTGACAGCAAGTCAGGTGAAGACTTGGCGGGTGAGAAATTTCCAACGACTTTAGACTAAGACAGGACAGAATTCAGAATTTGGTGAGATCAGGGGCTCGTTTCCTAAAGTTACTTTGCAACAACCAGTGGTTCCAAGTAAAACTTTTGAAAATGGGGAAGGGGGACGGAGGGGGTAAACACACGCTCTACCCTTCATGGTATTCTAATGGAATTGGTATTGTAATTAAAGGGTTCAACAAACGGGACTGTTTTCTACCAACTACCGCCTTGCTTTCTGACCCCTTATCAAAATGGTGATTGGGGGAAGGGGGGGGGGTTATCCTTCATGGTACTGTAATGAAACGTCTCAATCCTCCTCGGTCAGTTATCGTGATCGGATATAATTCCTTATATCTTAAAAACAGATAGTCGGAGGAGAGTACCCACAAAGGGCGATATGGGACGTCTGGAATACATATACTTGCGATGTCAAAACTTTAAGAGCGAATATCTCGAAAACGGTTTGTCGGAGGAAAGTACTCTCAAAGGCAAAATGAATTGTCTGGGCGAGACATATCTATTTGTGATGTCAAAACTTTCAATGCAACTATCTGCAGAACTGAATGTCGGAGGAGGATACTTACTCTAAAAGGGTGGAAAGATCGTCTATACTAGAAACACATATACTAATAGCGATGTAAAAGCTTAATTGTGATTTGTGAATATCTCGAAAATGTTGGAGGAAGGTAGCTACAAAGGGAAAATGCTATACTCTCTGAGGGGTAGATTTTTCTTGCATTGTATAGCGTAGATTTTGAATGCAGGCGGCCTTTAAATTTCTTTGTTGTTCTATAAACTCAGGTGTTATAACTAGGCCACACATAAAGCAATGAGTTTTGAAACTGAAATGATCTTCAGTCTTTTGACTTTTCCTTACCATGCTCCATCTGGTTCACACGAGACGCAGACATTCTTTCATTATTGTTGGGTTTATGACATCGCTCATGAACCTCAACTGCAAATTTTTCATCTTCCCTTTCTTTCTTGACTCGATAAACGCCTTTTTCTCCCACCGTTTTTACTTTCTCTACAACATTATCCAGTACTTCATCACAAATAAACACGTTTGAACTCATTTTAACACTACACGTAAGCAGTCTAAGACGGAACTACTCCTTCGCAGAAGTGACTGACAGATCGTATCCGTTGTTTTTTAGTGGAAGGAGGGACTCGACCCTGGAAACAGTGAAAACTACTCAGGCACATGGTGACGTAATTGGCCTGGCTTTCTCTGTGAAGGAGTGGGAGAGTTTTGAACCAGGCGGGACATAAGGTGGGCGGTAGGCCAATTTCTAACCACGCTTGAGCCCGAACGGTTCATCGAGGAAAAAAATAAATAGTGGAATTTGTAGGAAATTTTATATACTTTCATTTTGAATTTTCGAAAAGTTAATAGTTTTCGATTTGTAAGCACAAAACCAACAAACAATATATTGTTTCCCCTACTTTTGTATTTTATTCAATGTTGCGTCATGAAATTTTGTTAGAAAACCTAAGATTTGGATTCAGCACCCCAAAAAAAACATATGGTATCAACTCACTTTCCTGCTAGAGGACCGTTGGAGCACAAATGGCCTGTATTGTTAGTAGTGATTATTTAGACCTTTCTTGAAATTACCTTTGCGAGCCACAAGATAAGTAGGTATCTAGATGGTAGTATGTCGTTAGCTTATAACAACAAAAGCTTAATTCAGTACCTTTAATCAGGTGAATCGGTTCATAATAGAATATTTTCATAGATAAATTGGTCGCATTTATGTCGGAAAAAACCCATTAACGTACTGGAGTACTGACTGAGGTAAGTATCCACGAGGATCTTCACCACATTATAATTTAATAAATAAATGCTAACATATATGTGTTTTTTTCCTCGTGGATACTTAAGAAGATGCCTACCACATCCGAGCTTTGGATCATGTTCAATTCCAATTTTACTGACTGAGGTACATACGTTGGAAATACGGATTTCTTAATACCGAAAACACGTTAACAAAATGGTTGGGCGTACCTAACCACTTAGGTAACTAATTCTAAAAAAGCACCTTTGGCTCTTTAAATAGAGTAATAATCCATCTAAAAGCCAGGCTATCAGGGTATTTAGTGAAAATTACGGGAAAACGTTTTTGTTATGCACTAATGCTAATCCAGCAACTACCAATAAATCCATTTTCCGATCGGCAATGTTATTTAGTTGATTTATGATTTTGTTTAAAGCGACTCCGCGTAGTGAGCGAATTATTCATTGTTGGTATTCGAAATGGTGCTCGTGTAGCTTTTTTCATGTCCTCCTAATTAGATAACATTAAACTCCGTATAATTAATTCCGACATTCCATTGTAACCAGTTCGTGCATTGTGTATTTGCCTTCATTTCTGATCAATAATGTAAACCGTTTCCAACTCGACCGCAAGCGAGTTCGCTACTTGCCGCATTGTCGGTTTTTAATCTAATTGACACGAAAAAGCTTGACGGTGTGTACGAAAAACAGGCTAAGGTGAACATGGAAAGCAACTTACTCCCACCGGCGTCCCTCGCCATTAAAATTAATCAGTTCATTTAAAAAAGAGAGAAGGGTTAAAGATGGAATTTATAATTTACTCCTAGTTAAAGATTACTCCGACCTTATCCGTATCGGGGTTGTAGCAAGAAAGAGCAAAGTTGTAATATTTTATGTTCTTATTTTCAGTGGAGGAGCTCCAATGTTTGGCGGTATGGAAAGAAGGTAGTTCGCGATATTTGGTCGGAAAGGTTCACCATAGCCATGCGACGTCGAATGAGGACCGATTCAGATGCTTTGTGTATGAAAAAGCATCTGTGGCGTCGGAAGCATTAGATGGTATTGAATTCAGAGTCGCACAAAGCGGGGACGCAACGTGTAATGGACTCTTCAGCGCCACAGAGGGTAGCAGAACGATGACTCTCAAAAGAGGTACCTTGAATACGAATTGCTATTTGAATTTAACTTTAAAGTATATCCAGCTTTACCTTATATAATATAAAGACCAAAATACAATAGTAAATACGAACGCTCCTAGTTACTAATCGGAAAATTATGTATAAATACCAAGCCATGCGAAATACTTTCTGTTATCAATTTTTGCGAGTAAATCGAACTTTTATTGCGCATTTATACGATTTTAGCTCTTTTATGAATCCCCTTTTTTATTCTTTTGGAAAACTGCGTTCTTATAGATTCTCGGAATATTTGTAAATTCAGTGGTTGAAAGCAATTTCAGTTACGACTATAAGACTGGATTTCTTATATTATCGTCTGCGCTGCTTTTTTATTATTTCGTATTTATTATGCAGCATAGAAAACCAAACAGCTCTTTATAGGACTAGAGCAATAATGCTATCTTTTATGAGTAAGGCGATACATCTTATTTTGCAAACAAAAAACCTGAGCGTGATGTTATGGTAAATCAGACAATTTGTTTTTTTTTTCATTATGGTAATCCCCTAGTTGCTGTTGGGGTAAAATAATTGTTGAACATATCCAATAATGCGTAGGTAATCTGACCTCTAATTTAATAAACTTCGAAAACACAGACAGGATCGCTTAGGGTATATTTCTAACTCGAATACAATATCGGCTAATCATCATCAAATGTCACTTCCAGAAAGCGAATATGAATTTCCCACCCTTGCATTTATTATTTCAATATCGCTTAATAATTATGTGGGCAAGTCGAACGCACAAGCTGACCGAAAAGTTTCAACTATACAGTTTACAAACCCAGAATGGTTATAGCGAAGCGGAAATCCATTTCCGCCGAAATACTCCGCTGCCCATAGAAACTTGTAAGTTTAACATTAGATGACCTTTTCGAAGTTGTCCCATCGACGTTAAAACGATAGGAAAATAAGCACGAACTTTTTAGATATCCAATATAAATATATTTGGCTTGGATACCACGCCCTAAAAAATTTGCATTTCTTTTTGATTCTGGTTTTCAATTCGCTGTGTTCATGTCAGATAACAAATTCCGTCAATGTGATAATTTTTTTCGCTCCTCCGTTTAGGGTGCGCCATACTGGGGTAAGTTACATTTTTCTATTTGTTATTGTTTCCGAGAAAAAATGAAATTTTTGAGACAATCCATATTTGCCCCTCGACTTATTTGAAAAAACTCCTCCTCCACCCATACTTGAGATGCAACAGATTAACTACAATTCGGCTGTATCGAAACCCTTTATGCACAAACGTATTACCTTTGAATCCTGGCCACGCCCGTCTGAATTCAGAAGGGCGCTCTTTGCCAATAATCTGTAAGCAATAAAACCACAAAACAAGAGAAGGAGTGAAAACGCGGCATATAAAGTGCGAGAAAAAATCTAACGTTTGTCACGTCGAGCAACTCGAATACGAAAAATCGTAATTAACATTCAATGGAAGCAATAATTCAATTTACGTTAGATAGCTAAAGCAAAATTTTGGCGCAAATTCTGTTCGTACACGTAAATGATGAGACGGGTGTAATTTTACATAGTAATTTGGATTTATTGAAAGTAAATTGAAAATTTCATTACCGAATTAGCAGATTTATTATCGACCATACGTACTCTGGATGTCTTCGTGTTGTAGGCATTAATTGTAAATTTTTATCATTAAAATGTGCCAAAAATATACAGAGCACAACATTAATGAAAGTGATAATCTCGAATAGGAGGGGAGAAGTTATGTAGTCGCTGAATCTAAATCCGACAAGCTTTCGGAAAATATATGCCTTTTTTTACTTTCTCGCGCATTTGTGACGGCTTTGGCTCAAACTGAGGGTCCAAAATGTTTCTTCTTCTTCGAAGATTCTTAAGCGATTTTGACGATAAAATGCACATGACTTTTTTTAAGGTTGTATGAAGAAACCGTTTTGTGCATGCAAAACTTCAAAAAATACTGCCCATTTTTCTGGTCCTACTAAGAGTTGCAGTTTGATGTTGGATTCGTCGATCTGAAGAACCTTATGATACCAAATTTCGTTGAAGTCAAAAAGTCAAATCAAATATGCCCAAAAAACCAGTGGCAATCTTCATCCTACTATTTACCTACTATGGTTCCTGAGAGAAAAATTAAAGAACGCACTCAAAATCTCGAAATTTTCGACTTATTTGGTCCCTTTCTTATGAGAGTATGAGAAATATAAAATCGGTCTCTGAATTGGTGATCTATCATCATCGGTCATATAACCTGTTATTCCGGATAAAGATACGATTTAAGAATTATGGGAGATAATCCAGGGTGGATCAATCGAGCAACCTCTTGACGCATACTCCTGAAAAGGCTGTACAAGTTTAATAATTACGCTAGTATGGTAGCTATTCAATGCAATATCTTTGGAAATTGATTAATCAAATACGTGACCTCTTCAAATGAAGACATTAATTGAAAACCAGCACGTATTAGTTTAAAGGGACATTTTGCATGTTGATACCAAGTTACAATGTCGTCTGTTAATTACTAATCAACGTGATTAGCATAAAATTGTAAATTGGTTGCAATATTCGCGCAAAACTTGCACGCATTTATGGGATGATTAGAAACTAATTGCACAAATCGAACGCTGCAACGTCTCGGTCCATGAAGGATAACGTGCTTGCATATTCGGGTAAGAATGGTATGAGGTTTTGATCTGGTTTAATTACAGAGACGCGTACTTTGTTAATTAGTTTACAGAAATGATTTCGGAGATGGCATTCTCGATTTTGTGCATTGTAACGAGCTACTTTGTAGGGTCGCCTAAGTGAACGTGCATAGAACACTTTGATGAGTGATAATCGAATTAAATTAAACAGTTGGATTTACTAAAGCGTACATCCATTATCGCTTAACTTCGGAATTTATACATAAAGGTGGAAAAAACCGTTAGGTTGAAAGAAAGACAGCGTCGAAATTAATTTCAAAAGCTATGGGTAGTTTGGAACTTGAAAAGGGTTAAACTACTGTTAACTTGTGGAACTTCAATTCCTAAGAAAATTGTATCCGTAAGAACTTCGACATTTCAGCATTCAAGTTTTGAAGTCACCCAAACGTCAAGTTTTGCTTCTTATTTATCGAGTATCCCCACGTCAGTTTTCACTTTGAAGTTGAGCTTTTCAAGTTCATCATAAATAGACACAAAAACAATTTAAACGATCGTTAATTGTGTGGTATAAGTAATTAAACACACCGTTTACATCTTTGCTTTCTCAAAATGTCAAAACGATGACATCTTGCGTGAGGTCTGAATATAATTAATTCTCAGTTAACTTTAGTAATATTGGAAATTGCTGTACATTAGACATTCATGACTACTGCTTGCTAAAGGAATCTAAAATATTTACTGTCTAGCGAACTATTCATCTTGGAGGTTTTCTTTTTTCACAGGGTGTTTTGCATAATTTTAGTACAGTAATGAGATTTCATTTAAAAATTGAAAGTTTAACTAAAACTACGATCAAATCGATACGAGACGGATTCTAGGAGTTGATTTGCATGATTAAGTTCGTTAAAGACGCAGAAAATTACTTTTCAAGATTTTTTTCTGGCATAAAATATAGATATTTTCACAATAGAATTAACACACTTACATATTTTAAAAGTTTTATGCGGGAATATTTCTTGCTTTTATCACAATAATTTCGTGTAGGACATTAAGATTGATCCAATTTGCTGTTACTTATGTTTGTTTATCACACTGCAGCATCATTGCATTGATACGCTGCGAACCTAACCTATTCAAAGATTCAAACAATTCAAACAAATTACCTACCTGTCTTTTAATTTTAAAAAAATTCAAAACATATTAAAAAAATGTTTCAAAAATTTTAAAAACAAGATCTAAATGATTCAAAAAATTCAAACAAATTTTCAATGGTTTTTAAAATCCTATTTTACTGTTATATTTTAAAATAAAGCATTTAATATGTTATCTTTTTAAATTAAAATCAACAGAGCGTTCCATTTAAAAGAGATGAGGTTAGGTCCTCTTTCAACTAAGAAAACATATGGACATTCTGAAATTTTTTTATTTTCTCCCGTATCAGTTAAGCAAGCGAATATTGTACCATATTTTAAGTTTGATCCAAAAAGAGCACATGATGCCTATTGCTTTTTTGATAGCACTAAAAATACGGATCTGCTACAATAGAGATTTTCCTGTGCTCATGGCATGGAACCTTTTCTTTATTCTGTCAGGCTGACCGTTGCACTTGGTTTTCCGACCCTGTTGTTGCCACCAGCATAAATCCGCATACGTGCTGATGAGTTTTATATTCGTCTATATGCCGATGGTGCTGGATAACCTTGTTCGTTATTTTCGTGTTTAGGTATATATAAAATTCTTCTGTACGTGTCTTGTTAAAGTTCCTTCCTCTCTTCAAAATCTCTTCAAAATCTCTTCAAAATCCCTTCAAAATCTCTTCAAAATCTCTTTAAAATCTCCTCAAAATCGCTTCAAAATCTCTTCAAAAATTCTTCTTCGTGCAGAAAACCTGGGGGTTGTGTCACAAATTGTGACCCCAATTTCAAAATTTTGTATCCACACAACACTGGCACACAGCTCAAAACTATAGAAAGCAATGTGTCAAATCCTTGTCAGTTTTTTGGATTATCAACTTAATTAGTACGTTTGGTGTTAATTAGAATGTGTGCTTTTTACCACAGGGTACATTATCTACTCTATGTTTTTACCAAATTGGCTAGTATCATCTCAATAACTAGTTCATTCGTTACCTATTTATACAGTGCATTCATAATGCAAGGAACGAATTCATTTACAGTTCTAGATTTTATGATCAGGACAAATACGAAAAGGATTCAGAATGTATTGTTCAAATATAAATTGCCACAATATAACCAGGTGTTTCATAAAAAAAATTAATGCCCACTTCCTCCCCTCTACATAAAAACACCCTGTAGGTATGTAAAATTTTTAATGCAAAAAAGTACTAGTGTGTGTGTCCGAAGCTTTTTCCAGAATACAAAATCCGGAATTGTAAATAAATGTGTTAGTTTCATTATAATTAATCAAGTACCTAATTTACCATAAGGTGGAATTAGAAGTAGTTGTGCTAAACGGCATGAAAGGCGTCTGTAATTAATGTATTTGGTGACGTTAAGTTGAAGTAATTAATTTAAAATTCAATTTCGATGTTAATCAATAAGGTATAGTGGAAGTGACTGCATTCTAGTAATCAATCCTAACTTGAGATTTGGTGGTATGCCAGTCATTAGTGCTTACGCAGCGTATTTAGGTGATGTGCACTTAGGAACACGTTGTATGCATATATGAAGAGAAGGAACGCATAATTATAATTTAACGACATCAAATTGTTATGAATAAATTAGGTGCTGTGGTTTTGGTAACGGCTGAATAATGAACAGCGGCTCAAAGCACAATTAATTAATTAATAAACAATTGATTACTGCGTTGTTAATTAATTGCTGTGTTGTGCTTCTATTTTAATTATATGTCCGCGTTTAATCGATAAGACGGTAAAGCTCTACGAAGTGATGAAGGAACATTAATAAATTTGTTTGTTTTTTAATTAATTAGTTATATAACATATAAGGTGTACTAAAGGTTCTGCATTAAGGCGGAATCTTAATTAAACGATCCATACCGATCCACTCAAATATGACCAATGGACATGGGTCTCAAATTATATTTTAAACCCCTAGTTGTATTTTGAATCTGCTGTCCACAAAAGTTCCTAAATTTGCGTTTTTTTATTTTTTTTCTTCAAAACATAAGGGATGTAATTAACGGATTTACATAGGTTTTCGGATACGTCCTGTCCGCTTTTGTACGCATTCAGGTTTTCTCGAAAAACCAACAAGCACATTTGATGTTTGAGCTTTCATCGTGATCGGAAATCATTGTTTTTAATATTAAGTTGAATCTCCGATAATTTGTTTTGTAATGGATTAGAATGAAATGGTTAATACCACGGCTAATAAATAAATTTACTAAATACTCTTACTATGCGGAATGTTGGCTCTTTATGTCGTCTTATAATCTGTTCAGTCTGTCAGTTCATTTGGGTTTGCGCCATTTGATTCAGGAAGAAACCGTGCTTTAGGCTTACTTTGATTTAATTAGGTGAATTGTGAATTATTCACGGTAATAAATTACCAATATTCCGCAGTGTGTAAGGGTCAAAAATGTATGTGTATTATTACTTAGGGATTTAACACCAAACAGGAGTTTGAATTAATTGTCTTTAACATTTTTACCGGTAGCCGTTTTGTTTATAATCTTGTTCGCACTTCGCATAAACAAACTAGATGCACAACTTTGATTATAAATTGTTTTTTTACGTAACTTGCTACTACAAGTCTGGCGCAACGGAATGGTTTGCACCTTGGACTTTAACCCTTTCGTGGTAACAACTTATTTAAATATTAACAACTTAATCCAATAATACACCGAAACAGATAAATGTTCGCTCGCGTATTAATACGGTCACACTTCGACTTAAATCGTTATTTTTTTTGTTTGCAACATTTTCAATTAACTACATGCGAAATTAGATCATTGACTAATAGGCGAAGGACACTTTGTAACCCAAAGGCCCAATCTTCAAATGAGTATAACTTTTCTTTAAAAAGCTATTTTAAAAACGGTTCGAAAATGTTGTGCCTCAACTCGTCACGTATGTACACAACAAATTTCGTGATTCCTAATTTTCATGTTGAAAAACCCCCAGATACCAAATTTCGTCGAAATCATAATTTTTTTGCACCCCAAGTAAGGGTACGCCCTTTCGTGGTAGAAATTAAAAAAAAATTTCAAAATCGGATAGGACATACCCGGAAACCTATTCAAAGACGTGCCACCCATTTTTGTAACTTTTATGGTGGCTGAGAAAAAATTAAAGAAGAAATACACATTTTACCACTTCTTTGGGGTTGGCTCCCAAACGTCCTAATCTTTTAACACCCTCTCCCCCCTCCATCATCCAGTGATCCATGAATGGTAAAACGTGTTTTAATTCTTAAAGAATGCGCTAAAAATTAAAGAATCTGAATAGTCAACAACCAAAAGAATTTACATATATTATATGTATATAAATCTGGTGAATTAGAACAATTTCAAGAATCGTAAAAATTTTTAAAAAAAGGGGGGGAAAGAGGGAAGAAACTTAAGAATTTGATGAGCCTGTGGAATCACAGTATCTGAATCGCCCGAAAAATAGACAGGAAAAAAGCTAAACAACGAAAGAAACTGAAGTGTAAACCCAGAAGCAGTCTAATAATCCGCAACAAATAATGAATCCAAATAGAATTGAAAAATCAGATGATTTCGAAGAAACGGAACGATCCCAAGATGCTCTAAATCATTATTGAGGAGCCAAAAAAACCATAATCTGAAAAATTCTATTATATATATGAAGAATTTTAACAATTAAAAAAATGGGTGGATTCAGAGAAACAAAAACATCCATAGATTTGTAAGAGTCTGAAACACTCGGAGAATGAAAAGGATTCGAAGGATATTAATAATTCGGAAGGCCTGATAAGAAGAATGAAAGAAATTTTAAAAATTGAAGAAGTTCAAAAAATCGAAATATCTCTATATGGAGCACTTGAGAATTTGAAAAGGTGTGAAGCATTTAAAATTAAAGCATTGTGAGAATCTAATATAATAGAAAGGATTTGTAGCATCAGACAAAACATTTCAGTTACGGGATATCCACAGTGTCCCAAGAACATTCGGAAGAATCTGAAGAATTCGGTGCATTTAAAAAAACGGAAATTTCGAAGAAACGGAGTAAACTGAAGAAACATTTGAAGCATTTGAGAAGAATCTAAATAACCTGTACATCTGTGAGAAATCGAAAGTGAAGATTTGGAAGAATCGGCATAATCTGAAGTCTTCAAAGAAGAATTCCAAAATTCAAACATTACGAATTCAAAAACCTTTACTAATTTTTTAGTCTACCAAAAATTTGGATTACATTATTTACATTTGATATAAATGACCAAATTTGGCTTTTGAAATACCTACTAGGATTTCTTTAAAATTTTTGAAAATGTACTGTCTTTCAAGATTTGTTTAAATTAGGCGTAATCTTGACAAAATTCATGTCAACTTTCGCAGATTTAAAAACTTACTAACTTTTTATGAACAGGCACAGAGAAGTGAAACTACCTATGTCTGACTCAAATTTTCGAAAGATCGTGCTAGAGCTTCGCAAGTGAGCAACGGAAAAACGCTTCGTGCTACAATTAGCACGAATTTTTAGTGTTTTTCTCGAAGGGGAAATGTTATTACTTGTTCTAGTCCAATCTTGTGTATATTACTAAATAATAAACCTGTCGAATGAAAAGTGGGGGCGATAATTAATTCGCGAAGTTTTTAAGATCATTCTGCAAAATTTATTGTCGCGCCAACCAAAAGCACATGGCAAGATTTAGAGCTTTGGATAATCCCGTGCATTAGAATTACATGCTTGGTGTAAGAGGCTTATCTGAAATGACAAATTGACAAATGGCTGCCACACTTCACTTCAAATTAATTTTGCCGTAACTTAAATAATCGCGGAGCGATGTAATTGTTGCAGAGATTATTCATACGTCATGTGACTTTGATAAAGGTGTAATCATTAGTACTCCTCAGTCTTTATTATTTAACGATTAATTTGTGGAGAGCCCTTTATAAGCATTTTGGAAAAGACACTTTTCAAAAAGTTTTATAATACAAAACGTCGCCATTAATTATGTTGTACAAAAAAGGGGAGATTCTTAAGTTAGGAGAACAGAATATGATTTTTTGCTTCCATCAATTTCTTGTAAAACCCTAACGTTCGCAATTTAAATTTTTTCGTCGTGAAGTTGATCCAAAATAGGTCATATCGATTGCCATGTAATCCCTCTGCCTGATTAGATGTTGAAACTGGAAGCTTGTTTTATCATGAAATTACGTCGCGAAATTCGCTTCTTATACCTATTTTCACCGCACTTTTAGCGTGTATCATCAGAATTTGTTTACATATTGGCCTTTCTTTTTAGCGTCATCGTTGAGTAAGTGTCGTTTTCCTTTATGGTTGGCAAATTACAACCATTGGCACACGCTCGACTACTCCGTTACGTACAGTTTCCACCACAGAAATTCCACATTGAGGATAACAAATTCGTCGGGATTGGAGATGAAGGTGGTTTGCGCCCAAACCAGACACTCAACTCGAGACGAGACGTCCGTGATGCTTCTGACACATTATACGATGGGGTGGTATGTCTTTTGCACTGCGTCCCTCGTTGCGCTATAAACACGCTAATTTTGTTCTTATTTGTTCCAGTCAAAGCGGATTTACGTGCATGGTGTTTTATCGGAGGGACACCAACGTGATGGAGGTACAGGCAGGTGCGCAAACTAAAAGGATGGAGGATGCGTGCACTACTCCCTACTTTAATAGAGCAACGATTCCATACATCACTTTAGTCAGTAAGAATGCGTATTTATTTTTAAAATGGTAAAAATTACCTCATTTATTTTTCACCGCGGTGTATTTATAATGCGGACCACCTAGAAATCGTCGTTAAAATTATTAATGTGGCGCACGTTAACAATTCAGTGCGCCCCAGCTTAAAACGTCACTTTTTCAGCAGCAACGCCAGAATCGAGGGAGTGTCCGTACGTTGGAAAATTCGCCGTACGTAGTTTAATCAAAGGTGGACGGCGAACAAGATCGTCGACCCACAATCGTCAAGTCGAAATGTATCATTTCCGACAAAACTACCACGTTGACAGGCATTCCAAGACCTTTTATGGAGAAGTTGACCATATAATAAGAACGAAAAGAGTTGATCGATTTTCAGACTGTGATAACGAAGGCTTTTCTAATCTTATTGTCGGTTGTAGCTCCGCCGATATTATGGAATTTCGTTCGGAATGTCCTACTTCAGATTTTATTACTTGTAAGTTTTCAAGTATCCTATTAATCATTATTCTTTGCCGTTTTATGAAAAAGATTTAAATCCATTTTCATTAAGTTTCCTCCTTTTTTTCGCGTGGAACGTTTCGGCTATTAATATCTATACGTTTAAGTACTTCAATATTAGTAAAGCTGAACATATATCACAGTGGATCTCTTAGGAAGTGTTAGCCGGACTTTGTGTGCGCTTTATATATTTTTTTTTCTTTATTTTCATTCGCAGTAAAATTGGTTTCATTTATTACAAGATTAGATTTAGACATGATGAAGTTGAGAGCTCTATTTGTAAATTGAAATAAGAACACTTGCGAAGCAGATTTATAGTTTTCTATTTGTAAAAAGCGAAGACATACAACTTTTTTTACTCAGTTTAGTCACATAATTAAGAAACATCTCGTTAACGTGACAGAACATCTTGCAATCTGTTATATTTCCTCTTTTTGAAGCAAATGACTTTTCTACGTTGAGAATAAGACAATGAGCTTCTGGGGATAATTATATTTTGCTTTAGAAGACGTTGTTGACAATTTCTACGTTAAAGGCATTGTGTGAACAGATGGTTTCTCGCGTCGATCTTTTTATTTTTTTTTAATTTCATCTAGCTTTAGTTAGGATCATAACTCATATAAGTCGAAAGGTCCCACAGAAATCGTGTTTTCGTAAAGATGAATGTTATTATTCATTGTAAGGTGACGTTGATAATCTATTTACTTACCCCCGGCCGCTGTAGAATGAACATTGATTTGAAAATGTTTTGGGACCTACAGAATACTTACATTATATTGTAATCGTACCTCTTCTTAATGGTGGAGGCCGAGATATGAAGTAAAATCAAATGGAGGGTCCACTTTCGTTAATGCGGACATCACTTTCAAACGTTATATCGCAGATGTACTACTGTGGTTATATCTATACCTTAATTCTGCGGTTTTCATACTCGACGCCGCTAATACTAACTCAAACAATTTTGCGCCCAACTAGATACGGGTCAATAACCAAGAGTGAACCCCGAGAATTAAAATTAGACTAAAGTAGCGGGCGCATAGCTGATGATTCGCGCTTGTTCGAGGAGCTCCTTAGGGATCGCGAAAAACAACTACACGTGGTTTAAGAAAAAGAAGTACATCCACAGATGTTACCATTTGTTTTGACGCCCATATTGTGTCACGATTAGTGTAACGGTAGCGTTAATTTAAAATTAGAAGATCGCGTGTTTCCCAGATGAATACTGCTGCTAGTCAGAGTACAGATTGGAATGGTCGACTGTAGTATCATGAACTCCTCCTTGTTTTTTTTAATTGCCTCGAATCGTCCGCCATGCCCGGGTGTCTCAGTTAGGGCTCAGTTTATATCCGTTTTAATAGGGCTATACCGCTATAGGATTACATTTCATAGCTCTGCCGATTGCCTTGTTTTTGGAATTAAGTAACAACCTTAAAACCTCCTGTGATTGGTAGTAAGAAAGACACTAACCAATACAACTTAGACATTGCCATTTGGGAGATAATCCGTCATTGTGGGCGTTCAAAATTTTATTTATTAATTAAGAGGGAGAAATTGGAACTTGTCATTCGCGGCGATCAGTACGACTCTCCAGGAAAAAAGAATTCGCGTTGTGAGATTCAAGGCGACCAGTACGGTCCTCCAAGATGTTAATTTTGGGGTACCGTTTTCGAAAAGTTAAACCGTGTTGACCGGGAATCTTCAGAAATGTATGAGTTTAGTGAGTTAGTAAAGAAATTTAGTGGTTTATTTGGTAGAAGTGCAAGAAGTATAACCTTCGAATATCACACGAAGGAACAACTTTACTTTAATTAAAATAAAGATACGAAAAAGAAAAGAAAACTTGTGGTACCAAATAAATAAAGTTTCCTTGTTATTACCAACACGATAACAAACCCCCAACGTTTCGCTATACTCGAAAATTTCGCCGGAGTCTACAAATTATAAGGACATTTGAAAACAGTGCCCGTTTAGCAAC